ATGTCGAGAGCGGGGGCCGTCGTGCGCGCGTTTGCTCCAAAGGCCCTCGGGCGCTCAGGCCTTCTGCGACCCTCGGTTCCAAGTGGCCCACTGCGGATCCCCAGGCTTTTCTTCGGGAGGAAGCTCCAAGCTTTCGAGGCCTTTGCGATGCCCAGGTCACGCCGTCCATGCTCAGCAGTGTTATGTTGGACCCGCTGCCGTTGGTTCCTGTCGGCGATCTCAGGCAGGTCTCCACGACGCAATCACATGTGTCCGCCGCGGGCTCACATGGTTTCCGCATGAGACGCCTTTACTTTCAGCGGGCGGGGCCCTGGAATCCCTGTCGAGCCCCCAGGGGCCCGCGGAATGCACCGGGGCGTTTCCGCCGCATCTCCGCATTGCGATCGTAGCCGCGCTGCCGAAGCCGACATCGGGATCCCGCCCGATAGGATTTTTTTCCCCACTGCTTACATGCTCTGGGGCAAATGCCGCAGGGATTGCGCTCTCGCCTGGGAAGCGGCGCACATGCGACCGCGCTGAGCGGCGGGGCAACGCAAGTCGGCCAGCGACGTCGTCGGGCGGCAGGCGGCTACGCATGGACCATCTCGGTCTCGGCCTAAGGCGGCCTGCGCCTTGCCCCGGGACCTCGTGGAATACTACGAAAAGGATCTCTCTAGATTTGTTGGTTTGGATTCGCGCGGCACACCCCCCCCCAGCTATTTGGTTACAGGTCAGCACGATGTTTGGCTCTCGCCGGCGTTGTGTCCGAGCCAGTACACGCTCGTGTCGGCTTCGTTGCGGGCTGCAGTTTCGCGACCGCGCAAATTCGGACAGTTGCCTTTGACGGCTTCGATCCCTCATCTATGCCTCCGTCGTTTTCGTGCGACGCCTGCGTCGATGACGGGGGGGTCAGCAGAGATGGGGGGGGGGGGGGGGGGGCGGAGGTCGCCGGCGGCAGTCGTGCGTTTGCTTTGACATTTGAGGCCGCGGTGGGTGATGTGTAGAAGGCTACGATTGCTTTGCGCACCGTTGGGCTTGTCGTTGCTTCTAAGTTTTTCTCTTGTCTGGTGGATCGGGCGGAGGCTGGGGAGTTTGGCTGGCCAGCGCCGAGAGCCCATCGCCAACCTCGGCATCGATGATGCAGCTGGTGGAGCCCTGCGAGTTCGAGGTCACAGCGTCGGACCAACAAATTCGCTGCTCGGGCTTGTCGGCGCACTGGGCGACATGTTGCGAAGCGAGCAGCGTGCGTTGGGACGCCAGTGTGGCTGGTCCACTTCATGTTTTAAGCACAGGGGCGAGATTCACGGTTGCGGCGACGGAGAACTGCTCAAGATGCGTCGTGTGTGTGTGTGTGCGTTCACGATGCTTCCCACTGCGGAGGTGAGCAGTTTGACCATTTCGAGTCGGCTCGAAGGAGGCCCCGCCTGGTCCGGAGCAGTGTCTCCGATCATCCGCCGTCCCAGGGGGGTTCGGGCGCGCCGCGCCCGCGCCTGCGATTTCTTCTTCCCTGGGCCCAGCTTCGTTCCGCCGGCCTTGTTTTGTCTCCTGGGTCCAGCTTCGTTCCATGTGGAATGGCAGCTTTCGCAGTGTTCGGGCGCGGCGAAAGATTCGGGGTCCTGCGCGGGGGCTTTACGGCTTCCGGTCGACAGGATCGGGCGGTCCACATCTGCTGACGAGTGACCTCGGGGCCCACCACTCCCTCGCCCTCACCCCGCTTGCTCTCTTGGAGAATCTCTTGAGGGATGGGGCGCGGCGGAGTCTCGAGCGAGAAACCGCCATGAAGCACAGCGACGCTGGGGTTCAGCGTTTTCGTTGTGACGTGGTTTTCTCGGCCCTCAGGTCTCAGAAATTCACGGCCCGCCAGGAAGAAACGATTCGGCGCATGATCTGGCAGGGATGTTGGCATCTTGCTCGGGCGAGAGCCGCGGGGGGCGACGTTCCGGATGCGCGTCCGCTCTGTCATGCGCTTGGGGGAACATGGTTAATGACGGTGCCTTATCAGCTGTGCTCGCGGACCCCAGCGCCTGCGACAACCTTGCCATCGATTCTGGCGTGTTGGAATTGTGGTTTCTGGTTTGTTCGAACACCCCCAAGATGCCCCCCCCCCCCCCCGCGCACGCCGCCCGCCCACCCCCGCGCAGCCGACGACGACGGTGGTCCTGATGGTGTGGGTCCCAAGTTTGTTCGGAAGGGGTTCGTTGCCGAGGGCCCACCGTGCCCGCCTGAGGGCTCTCGTGAGCTGCGGGGCGAAGCTTTCCTGGGCGGCTCACGCCTGGAATTTTTCCCGCTCGGGACATGTGCCGCGCGGGTTGGGGCATGGCTACTCTAAGTCCAGATGGCAACCTGCTGACGAAGGCGCACGGCCCAATGCGGAACAGCTGCCCCCCCATACCTCACAGGCAGGAGGATGTTCTGCTTATGCTGTGTGCGGCGCCTTGCCTCTCCAACCTAGCGAGTTGTCCAGTCACTGTGCCGACGTAGTTGGCATGTACGCTTTGCCTGCCTATGCCCGCCATGTGCCTGACTAGCCGCGCGCGGGGGTGGCGACGCAGGGGCGGGCGATGGGCTGGAGCAAGACGTTGAGCTGTGAATAGGTCAAGGCGCATCAGACGCTAGACGATCCTCCTCTTACTCCTCAAGAGCGCTTGTTGCGAGCAGATAGCGCCTGCGATCGTGCTGCAAAGCTCGGTGCGGCAGCGCACCCGTCCGCTGCCGCTGCGACATTGGCCGACATTAATGTACATGTTTGGTTGCGCTAGGATGCCGCCAGGCTTGCTACTGAGTTGCTCCCGAAGGAGGCGCCCTGGTCCAACTCGCGAGTGCCATAGCAGGCGGAGGCCTCCAGCCCCCACGCGTGGACATGGTTGGGCCCTCGTGTCGGTTCGCAGCGTTTTTGGCAGTGCTCGACTCGTGTCCACACCAAGCGGAATCCCAGTCACATTCGCCCGCCCACTCAGAGCCCCCATCGGATCAACGTGCAGAGGTTTCGGGGTGTAAATCATAAGTGCGTAATGCTTGATTGCTCGAACGGTTCTTTGGTGGTCGTTTGTCTTGAATGCAGATGTTGCGCGATCGGTGCTCGCTTAGCCAAACTCTGAGATTTCTGTGCGGGGTGGGAGAATGGCCCCAAGATAAGCAGACAACAGGGTGCACGGGCACGCCTGTGAGCCTCGCGGTCGCAATATGCAGTCGTCATCCGTCGAAGACACGGGGCGGGATCCTCAAGGAACCCCTGCACAATGAGAGCCTGTCCGCCGCGGTAGTTATGGAGGGTGTGCGAGGCGGGTCGGGAATTCCTCCCAGATCTAGTGCTAGCCAGCGTGGGCTTCAAGCAGCGAGCTATTGCACTGTGGAGGTGGAGGCTGTACATAGTAATCTATGTGGTGTTGGCTCTGCTGTGTGAGCTATGTGGTGCAAGCTGTGTCGTATGAGCCAAGGGTGTGCGAGCTCTGCCGCGGAAGTGCCGTGGCGCGACTTCCGCTGTGCGAGCCACGTGGTGCAAGCCATGCTGCACAAGCCACGCTGCGTAAGCCGTGCTGCCCGCTCCAGCCGCGGGGCGCCCGAAGGGCGCCCGCGGGCGGGCAGCAGGCGCTGGCGGGCGCCTGCTGCCCGCCCGTGGCGCCGAGGTTTTCGGGCGGGCAGCAGGCGAAGCCTCGGCAGACTCGCCCACTTCTGCGGGCGCCCTCGGGCGGGGCACCCGCGAGCGCCCACCCAGGCGACGGGGCGGCCGCGGGCGCGCGGCCGCGGGTGGCCGCGCGGCAGCACCCTCGCGGGACCCCCTCCGGCGCGAGAGGCTGCCGCGGGCGGCAGCGAGGCGGAGCCCCGCCGGGCCCCTCCAGCGCAGGCGGCGGCCACGCGGCGGCCACGGGCGGCAACGTTAAAACGACGCGGAGATCGGGGCAACATCGGATCGGGACAACTCGAAGTCTCTGAGAATCGGCGGGTTTGGAGGATGAACTGGGCGCCGCGGCCGCTCCAGAGCGTTCCGGGAGGCTCTGAGTGCGCTCCGGAACGCTCTGGAGCGATTTATCCCGATCCTGGCCCTGTTTTAAATGTGGCGAATGAGCGGGGGCCCACCCGGCGCACGAGGCGGCCTCGGGCGGCCACGTGGCAGAACGCCGCCAGACCCAAACAGCGCCCGAGATGGCCACGAGGCGGCTGCCGGTGGCCACGTGGAAGTCTTGGCGATACGTGAGGAGCCCCTGGGTGCAAGCACAGTGTGGGGAGCAGAACCAAGCCAACCTGTCGGGTGGGGAACGAAGTGATCATCCTCGTCGTCGTCCCCGTGGGCAGTTGCTCATCTTGTCTCATTTTCGGGTAGCCTCGGTCCCAGGAGGTGCCCTCTGGATCCCGAAGACGATGCGACGCTGCGGCATTGTGAACACCAATCTGTTGGATCAGATCAGAGACCGCTCAAAATCGGTCCCCAGACCCTCTGGAGGTCCATCCTGGCCAAGGTTTATGGCGGCCCAGGGATCAGACATGGGCTCCCGAAGCAGAACTCAAGGGAAACTGTGCATAAACTTCGTCGGCCGTCGTCGTTGCCATCGTCCCACGCCGGTAGTCTGTCGTCGCCGTCGTCGTCCGTGTTCTCGTCGTCGTCGCCGCCTGTCGTCCGTTGTCGTCGTTCGTCGTCGTCGCTCGTCGCCGTCTTGTCCTCCGTCATCGTCGCTGGTCGCCGTCTGTCGTCGTCAGTCGTCCTCGTCGTCGTCGTCGTCGTCGTCCGTCGTCTGTCGTCGGTCGTCGTCGTAGTCGCTCGTCGTCGCCTGTTGTCCTCCGTCCTCGTCTGTCGTCGTCGTCGTCCGTCGCTCGTCGTCGTCTGACGTCTTCGGTCGTCCCCGTCGTCGTCGTCGTTGTCCTTCGCTCGTCGTCGCCCGTCGCTCGTCGTCGCCGCCCGTCGTCGCTCGTCGTCGTCGCTCGTCGTCGTCGCCCGTCGTCGTCGTGCAGGGCGCCGCTGGCCTCCGACCACAGCCGGCCCCGCCGCCGCAGCCGCAGTCGCGGCCCGTGGCGCCGCGGCCCGCGGGGCAGCCGCCGCCGCAGGAAGTGCCGCCGCAGCGGCCTTTGGAGGACCCGGCCCCCCCTCTCGGTCACGCGCAGAGGAGGAGGAGGAGGAGGAGGAGGAGGAGGAGGAGGAGGAGGAGGAGGAGGAGGAGGAGGAGAGGCGTTCTGGGCTCTCCCAGGGGGGGGGGGTCTTGTGCGTACATACTTCAGAGCGCCGTGTGCGCACGAGCACTGGCAACGATCACCAGACTTCTCGCCATTCCTCTGCCTCCGTAACCCTCTTGGCTCACGCAATGGGCACCAGGCCGCGTGGCCACGGCGGGGCGGCGGCGCAGGGCGGCGGCGGCACCGTGCTCCCGGGGCCCAAGTCCCCAGCCTGGGGCTGCCGCTGTGGCGAGGCGGCCAATTGGGCATCGCGGCTCCACTGCAGGAGCTGCGGGGGCCCCGCGCCTGTCTCCGTTCGGCAGCGGGCAGTGGAGGCGGCGTCAGGCCCGTCCCCTTCCGCGGCGCGGCCGCCCAGGGCAGTGGCGCCCAAGGCAAAGGCGGGCGCCAAGGCCAGCGCCGAGACGGAGCCCAAGCAGTCGGCGGCGGCCGCGGAGGCGCCCTGGGTGCACGGCGGCGGCAAGCCTCGGAGGGCGCGGTTCCGCGAGGCGGAGGTCGTCGAGATCAGGGAGGACGACGAGGCCGACAAGCTGGCAGCAGCGCTGCGGCTGCTGGAGGAGCGCGGAGTCCAGCTTGATGAGGAGGCGCAGAAGAAGCTGGGAGTCGGCAGGCAGGCCGACCCAAGCAAGGCAGGCCCAGAGGCGCCCAAGTCGCACCACGCCACGGTGCAGAGCGCCATGTGGAAGGTCAAAAACACGGCGGGCAAGCTCGAGAGGTCTCAGCAGAACTTGGAGGCCGCACAGGAGGCGTTGGCGGACGCCCAGCTGGCGGTGGACAAGGCCACGGAGGCCAAGGAGGCCGCAGCCAAGGCCCACGCCCAGGCGCAGGACCTGCTCGAGCGCGCCAGGAGGGTGGAGCAGGCGGGCCTCCCGCCCGAGGCACAGCTCGACCAGCGCGCGCAGGACGTCGACAGGCTGGCCCAAGCCACCCTCGGAGCGAGGTACGCCGCCGAGCTCAAGGGCCATTTCGAGGGTGAGGAGGCCGTCCAGGTTACCCAGGCCATCGAGCTCTTCTCAAAGCTCGCCGCCGCGAGCAAGGCCCGCATTGAGGCGGCCAAGCGGGCGGCGGAGGCCCCACCCTCTGGGGCGCCTGCTGCTGCTGCTGCTCCTGCTGGGCGCCCCCCCGACCGCGAGGGCGGGTCACCAGCAGCCGCGGGAGGGGGCGCAATGCAGGAGGAGGGCGACGACTTCGACGCCAGAGTGGAGGCCCTCGATGGGGCCAAACGAGCTGAGGTCGAGCGTTTCCTCGAGTCGCACGGCTGCTCCTTGCCCAAGCGCCTGCGCCTCCCAGCGGGCTCCGCTGCAGGCAAAGGCGCGGCCAAGGCAGCAGAGAAGAGCGAGGACCAGGCCCACTGAGGCGCCCGAGGGCGCGAAGGCGGTAGCTGCGAACCGCAGGGCCAGGGCGCCCCGCGAGGGCTCACTCGGGAGGATGGTCTCTTCCAACACGACCTCCAGGGCGAGCATGCGGCGCTGGCTGCAGGAAGCGGCGCAGGGCGACATCCTCTTCTTGCAGGAGACGGGCGTGGCGCCAGGAGGATTCCCAGCGGTCTCGGTCTACCTGGTGGCCACCACCAGCGGCCTGGACCCCGAGAGCAGGGTGCTGCTCGCGCAGTTGAGACAGTACCTCGAGGCGGCGCAGGCCCCGTACATCATCGGTCCCGAGAACGTCGAGGCCGCCGTGCTGGACGAGTCCTTCGGACAGGGAGGCGGCGAGAGGCGCGATCCTGGGGGGCCAGTCCCGTCGGGAGCGGCCCCCCAGGATCCAAGTCCTGGGACTGGCAGTTGGGGGCAGCCTGCGATAAATTGCCCTACTCGCGTGGCGAGCTCCGACGGCCATGAGACATTGCCGAGCGGTCTAGGGCCAACCGTCCTGAGGCCACCGTCAGCGTCGGCCGAGGCGCTGCGAGGAGTTCGCGTGTGCTACGACGAGGACTGGACAGCGGTCGGCCATTCCCTGAAGGGCGACGTGCTGGACTTGCCCCCGTGCGCCGCCACGGAGAGCGGGACTGAGCCTGCAGGGCAGGTCAGCGGCGCAGGCCAGAGGCACTCTGACGAGGAGGTGGTCGAGTGCGTGGCCAAGGTCGAGCGGCTAGGCCCTGCTGCGGGGCTCGAGGCCCCGCGGGCCACGGGCAGCTGGCCTCGGACGCTGGACGAGCTCTACGCCAGCTTCGCGGCGCTGTTGGAGGAGGACTTGGGCGGCTCGTTCGACATGGAGCAGGAGGACCTGATGAAGTGCGCGGGCCGCGGCGAGTCCGCCCGCTTCCAGGAGGGCACCATCAGCGCCAGCAGGCGGGGGACGCGCGCCCGCGGCTCCCCGCAGGCGCGCACCTGGCACAGGAGCGCGGCGCTGCTTTGGGAGATGCTGGCCAGCAGGCGCCGTTTGCGGGCGCCGCACCTCGTCTCGAGGGAGCTGGACGTGCTGGCGCGGCTGCAGGCCAAGATAGGCAAGCAGGCTGCGCAGGACCTGGTTGGCGACATCGGCCTAAATTTCCAGTCGCTGCTGGCGGGTTGCTCCTTCGCCACGACGCTGCTCCGCGTGGAGCTGGTCGAGCCTTTGGACGCGATGCTGGCGGCCTGGCAGAGGGTGACTCCATTTTGTTGGGTCGACGACATCACGGTGGCGGTCTACGTCAAGCGAGCGCAGCTGGAGCATTTTTTGGTCGGGGCCACCCGCGCCCTTTGCTTGGGCCTGGAGGCCATCGGCTTCGTCATCGCCTTGACGAAGGGCCAGGTTCTGTGCACCGACTCCGACATCGCCAAGTGGGTCGCCCACAGGCTCAGACGATGGAGGTTCACACGCGTGAAGGCCATGAAGAACCTCGGCGTGGACTTCACTATGGCGAGGTCGGCCTCTTGGAGGGAGCTACGGCAGAGGATCGATCGCCTGAGCCAGAGGGCTGGGCGGTACAGGGCCTTGCGCAAGACGGGGGCCAAGAGGCTCTCCAAGGTTTTCAGGACAGGAGGGCTGGCGTCCATCCTCCACGGAGCGAGGGTCAGTGGAGTACCCACGAAGACCCTGCAGCGCGCCCGAGCAATCAACGGCAGGGCCATCTCGGGCGAGTTCGGCCAGGGATCCAGCACGGTCGTCTTCGCCCTGCAGGAGGGCAAGGACTGGAAGCACGACCCCGCCTACGCGGCGCACGTCCTACCGCTGAGGGCTTGGGCGCGAGCCGTCTTCCTGGGCGCGAGGCCCCCTGCGGTCTTCAAGCAGGTGCTGGAGCGCAGACCAGACGACTGGGGCGAGGTCACTGGGCCAGCTGGGGCGGCCCGCCTCTCGCGGGAGCGCATCGGCTGTGGGCTGTTGAATTGGCACTGCTGGAGGGACAACCGCGGGCAGATCATCGACTTGCAGCTGCACAGCCCGCGGATGGTAGCCAGCCTGGTCGAGAATGGGGTCCACCGTCACCTCATGCTGAAGATTGCGAGCCACGAGGGGTTCGAACATCTCCAGGGCCGCCCGCCGAGCCTGCGGCGCGCAGGCAAGGTACAGGAGGCAGCGCTGGGAGAGGCACATATGGCAGGAGGGCTCGTCACGCAGTCCGACCTGTACGTTGAGAGGGCAGAGCTCAGCCCGCTGTGCCAGTGGTGCGGAGAAGCACCAGGCACGGCGCACCACAGTCTGCTCGCATGGCCCGCCATCGCCTGCTGGGCGCGCGACCTGGGTTTCCAGGAGATCGCCGATGCAGGCAGGAGGGCGCCGCAGGACGACCTGGGCCTGGTCAGGGGCCCTGTCCACCACGGGCTGGACCAAGCCCCGCCCCCAGGCATGGACGAGCTCTGCCATCGCGCAGGCAGCGCGAGGCACGGCCTCCGCGAAGGTGTCAACTGCATCGACGGGTCCGCGATGTACCCCGAGGCCCCGTGCCTGACGCGCACGGGATGGGCAGCCGTGGCGGTAGACGACGTCGGGAACACCGTCGGCGGCCTCCTCGGGCTCACGCCAGGCTGGGTCCAGGAGATCGGCTATGCTGAGCTCTACGCGCTGCGCAATGTTTCGGAGGAGGTCGGCCCATCGCCCATCACGGTCTACACGGACCGCAAGGGGATCAAAGACGACTTAGAGGCGGGCCGTGAACGCTGCTGCGGCCCAGGCCACAAGTATGCGGACCTTTGGAGACGGGTCTGGCAGCGGCTCGACGACCTCGGCCCTGGCTTCCTCACCTTGACGTGGCTGCCGTCGCACGCTTCGTGGGCCAGGGCCTGTGTGGCAGAGGTGCCATGGCAGGCATACGCGGGCAACAGGGAGGCAGACCTGAGGGCGAAGGAGGGCGCCAGGCTCCACCCCAGGCAGGAGCAGCTGAGTGAGCTGAGCCGCCGCCTGAACGCCGCCGCCGTGCAAGCAGTGGCCTGGTGCGGCCACCAGACGGGTGGCTGCATCGTGTTTTGTCGAACATGCGGGGCCCACGGGAGTCGCCAAGCAATGTTCTTGGCCGACCCCTGCGTCCCGTTGGTCAGCAAGGGCCATGATGCGGCTCGCCTGGCCCGCCGCGCCCTCGAGCGGTTCAGGGCGGGGCGGGAACCCCAGAGTGGCTGCCGCTGGGGAGCGGCCCCGTTCCCAGTCTCGAGGGCGGCAGCGAGGAGGGTTTAATTTTGGTTTTGTTCGGACTCCAAGGGGCCCCCGCGCCAGGTCTCCTGCCTGGCGGGTCCTGGGTCTGCCGTGGAGTGTTTGATCCCCGTTTGGGGCCGAGGCTGGTTTGCAGAGCGGACCGCCTTCTGGTAGGAACTAGAGGAACTAGAGGAGGAGGAGGAGGAGGAGGAGGAGGAGGGCGGAGGAGGAGGAGGAGGAGGGCGGAGGAGGGGAGAGGAGAGGAGGAGGAGGGGAGAGGAGAGGAGGAGAGGAGGAGGGAGGGGGAGGAAGGAGGGGAGGAGGAGGAGGAGGAGGGAGGGGAGGAGGAGGAGGGAGAGGGGGAGGGAGGGAGGGAGGGGAGGGAGGGAGGGAGGGAGGGAGGAGGGAGGGAGGGAGGGAGGGAGGGAGGGAGGAGTAGGAGGGAGGACAGGAGGAGGAGAGGAGGAGGAGGAGGAGAAGGAGGAGGAGGAGGAGGAGAGGGGAGGGGAGGGAGGTGAGGAGGAGGAGGAGGAGGAGGAGGAGGAGGAGGGGAGGAGGAGGAGGAGGAGGAGGAGGAGGAGGAGGAGGAGGAGAGGAGGAGGAGGAGGAGGAAGGAGGAGGAGGAGGAGGAGGAGGAGGAGAGGAGGAGGGAGGGGGGAGGGAGGGAGGGAGGGAGGGAGGGAGGGAGGAAGGGAGGGAGGGAGGGGAGGGAGGGAGGGAGGGAGGGGGAGAGGAGGAGAGAGGAGGAGGAGGAGGAGGAGAAGGAGGAGGGAGGAGGAGGAGGAGGAGAAGGAGGAGGAGGAGGAGGGGAGGGGGAGGGAGGTGGAGGAGGAGGAGGGAGGAGGAGGAGGAGGAGGAGAGGAGGAGGAGCAGGAGCAGGAGGAGCAGGAGGAGGAGAAGGAGGAGGAGGAGGAGCAAGTGGAGCAAGAGGAGGAGGAAGTGGCGGAGGAGGAGGAGGAGGAGGGGGAGGAGGAGGACGAGGACGAGGACGAGGAGGAGCAACGAGTCGGCTACACGCAGGAGGGATTCCCCTCGAGGGTTCGTCTCGATGCCTCCGATGCGATTCGGCTTCGGATTCCGATTTGGGCTCAGATTTCGCAGTGGTTGCCTAGTAGCCTGCCGATTTCTGCCGATTCGATGTTTCCCGATTTGGATTCCGATTTCCGCCGATCTGGTTCATTTCGATCGCCGATCCGACTTATCGATTCGATTCTGGGTTCTCCTGTCCTCTCAGCCAACCGCAGATGGGGGGTAACCTGAGATGCTGGCGCTGCAATCCCAGGGATCCGACGCTCCCCCAACAACAAAAAATCGGCGCGGCGGGTCTGGGGCTACTTTCGGCCTACGGGGTCCCTCGCCGGGCCTCGGGACCGCGAGAACACGACCAGGGAAGAGGAGGAGGAGGAGGAGGAGGAGGAGGAGGAGGAGGAGGAGGAGGGCGGAGGAAGAGGAGGAGGAGGAGGAGGAGGAGGAGGAGGAGGAGGAGGAGGAGGAGGGAGGGGTCCAGACCTCTGGGGCACGTGCACCAAAAATAGTGAAGCGGCCAGATGTGTTTGGGATTCTTGCACAGCGCGCGTGGTCGCCCCGCTGCGGGCCCCGGGAGCCTCACAGGATGAGCCGGCCCGAAGAAGAACGCAGGAAGATCGGATCCGGGGCTCCGGTCGTGACGTTTTGCGATGGTGCGATTTCCTCGCGGCGTCGGATCTCGGGAGCGATGCGCTCGGGCCTCATCTTGCATCCTATCCCTCCCGCCCATCCTTTTTCGTGGCGCTGATGTTCTATGATCCGCGGGCGCGTGTCATGGCCGTCCTGCGACCCTAACAGAAAGACCACTGCGCGTTAATGACCTCTCATGTTTTCGCTTGCGCAGAATATGCGCAAGCGGGAAAAATGGGAGCTGCGCGCACAGGAGGAGGAGGAGGAGGAGGAGGAGGAGGAGGAGAAGGAGGAGGAGCGGGACTTCTTGTTCAGAATCTCCTACCTTTATTTCTACTCCCCCATGGGTGGCCAACCTGCCTCCCTGTGGGAAGCGGAAGCGTGCGAGGCACCTTCATGCCACCAGGAAACAGGAAACAGGACGAGCAGGATGTGGGACAGCTTCTTACAAGCACCCGTGCTTCCTCGAAGGCGCGGTCCTGATCTGTAGGTGTAGGGCCTTCTAAGAAGCAGTGGTGCTTCCAAGCAGCTAAGAAGCCTGGCGCGCGTGAGTTGCGTGGAGAGGAAAAGGAGCAGGAGGGACGAGGAAGAAGAGAAGGGGAGAGGAAGGAGGACGCCAAAACAGTATTGTTCTGAGAGCCTTCTTGTGGCTTGCACGGAACATGTCTTGGATAATCTCAGTCCGTCTTGTCTCAACCAATCCGTTTCGTTTTCTACGTTGTTTGTCGGCAGCAGTGTCGTGGTAGGCCTACAGGAATGGCGAGACGGTCGTTCCCTGCTCAAGGGGTCGGGGCCCACGCAACGGGGGCCAGCGCTCACGGGGGTCCGCCCAGTGCCCTCTGTCAGCCACGCGCAGAGGGGAGCAGGGGGAGGAGGGAGGGCTTCTTAGAAGCAGCCTGCTTCTGAGAAGCCTGCCCCCCGAATCGATGAGCCGGATCGGCGATCGGAATGAACGGGATCGGCGGAAATCGGCGCCCACATCGGGAAATTTCGATCCGGCAGAGATTCGCAGGCTAGTGGGCCACCAGTGAGAGATCGGACCCCAAATCGGAGTCCGAAGTCGAATGGAATCAGAATCGGAAACCATGGAAGTCGAATCGAATCGAGTCGGAGGAATCGAATCGAAACGAGCCCTGGTGGGGAATTGTAGCCGACTCGTTGCTCTTCCTCGTCCTCGTCCCTCTACTCCTCCCCCCTCCTCCTCCGCCCCATCCTCCTCCTCCTCCTCAGCATGATGATGATGATGATGATGATGATGATGATGATGATGATGATGATGATCATCATCATCATCATCATCATCATCATCATCAGCATCAGCATCAGCATCAGCATCATCATCATCATCATCATCATCATCATCATCAGCATCATCATCATCA